TCTGCGGGAATGGCAAGAGGCTGGGATTTGGAAGACAAACTGATGTCACTTGACCCACTTGTGAGCTTTATAGTCCCCTTCAGGAAGGTGGAAGCTGTGGCACAGAGGGAGTGAGTGGTCTGGGCTCACGGAGTAAGTCAGAGGCAGGGACAGGAACGGGTCCTGTGGAGATAACCATTCCATACTGACAAATCTGATTGACTTCAAAAGGAAATTAGTTTATGGAAATGTTTGGAAATGTGTAGAAAAGTCTCATTTTCCACCCCATGTAGAGCTTTGTAACCATGGTGTTACAGAAACACAAGAGAAAATGTGTAAAATTATGAAAGAAGAAACACTCAAAAAAAAAAAAGATTCAAGACCATTTTCTCTGTGCTGGGGAGAGACTAAGCCACAGCTCATGCCATGGGCTGCAGAGATGATGTAAAGATTTTCCAGGCACATAGACCAGCTTGTTCTCCTGGCTGATGCACAGCAAAGACAGAGGTCTTGTGAAGGTACCCCAAATATTGCTGTCCTGCTGCAGGAGTTCACCCCACAAACTGAAGTACCTCAGTGGGAATCTCATTGCCCTAAACTCCCCCACAGTCGATGATGAGAGAGCAAGAGCAATGCCAGCCAGACATCTGCAGAAGTGGAATCAGAACTTGGGAGGGCTGAATCGTCCTCTAGATTTGCTGCAATTCACATGCTGCTACCATGTGAACCCAGGGCTGAAAGCACTCCGGCGGCTTTTCCAGGACTCCTGAAAGCCCCTTTGTGGAAGCAGAGCTGACTGAACTGGCCTTCAGGTCAAGAAAAATCAAGCACTGGGTGGGATTTCCAAGAGTACTTGGCTGTAACCTCACCCTTTGAAGTCAGCAGAATATTTACATCGATTTCAACTGGAGAAAAATCAGGCCAGTGCAGAGCGTTTGAAACGATGCTCCGGTTCCTTTGTACCTCCCAGCTCGAAGGCCGTCTGCTGTGTCTGTGATTAAACACCATCCCAGCAATTGCTTAGACAGCACAATGAGCCCAATGTGCTGGCCCTGGGGGCACAGGGAAATTATAATGATTAAACCACGTGAATCTCCTAAACGTTACCTGCGATCGTGCCGCCAGCCACCATCGCGTCAGGCAGGCACGGGCCAGTTACCTGCAGAACTGCCACGGAAAAGAAAGTACTGTGGCCTCTTCACACTGCAAACAATAAAAGATCGAAATAAAAATGGAGCACATTTACATACCAGATATACATGTCAGCTCCTTTGGGCACTTCAAGTAAGGGTGTCAAGTAAGTGGCCCGGAAGAGCTGTTCTAACTCCTTCTGTTGGCCATCATCTGGGTCTGAGCAGCGCAGATTGAGATGCCTTGCATCTAGAAAAGAGTAAAAGAGTACACAGGGCACACTAAAACAAAATAGTTCACCTTTTGGAAAGGCTCTTAATGTGTGCAACTTACCAGGCAGGGACTGCCCTGGCAGAGGTCACCCTCTGAGCACGGGCAGAGGATGTGCTGTGTGACAGCCAGGACTGCTAACAGCCAGCAAAGCCAAATGAGGGCAATAACTCTTCAGTCAAAAAGAACTTTGCCCTAATTTAGATTTAAATTCCAAGAAGACGGAATTGACGCTAAAAGGATTTCATGGTATTTGCAGAAATGGAAATAGTTCCATTTTGTGAAAATTAACTTGTTTATAGTGAAGTTTTGGATACCAAACCCGCGGAGGAGCTCTGGGACTTCCAGGTTGTCTGAAGAAGCCAACACTCGTTGCCTGATGAAAAGCCCAGTTGTTGGGAGCTGCTCTGCATCTCCTGGAGAAGCTCCCAGCCACAATGAGGGTTCCAAACTTCAGCAGAATCAGTGGCTTGGTAAAGTCTCACATGAAGCACAAAATCGAGCAAATCTGCAGCAGTTTAACCCCACCTCACAAACTCTCCTCCACTGAAAGATTCATAACCTTTCTGAAAAGATTAGCCCTGAGTGATGGTGAGATGGTTACTTCATGTTGAAGTCACAGGGAATTAAGGCTTGCAGTACAAACCAGGACAAACTACGGGTTTTCAAGGAAAAAAGAACTGGAGGGAGTTAAATTAAATTAGCACAGCAGGCTAAAACCTTACTATTTATATAAGTTGAATCACATAACAAACAAAAGCAAGGTGACTTTTCTATATTGAACCTGCTTTCTGAGACGGAAATGGTGCCCATGGGGTTGGAATCAGGGTCTCAGGACTCCAAACATTCGTGGCTGTTGCTGTGTGATACACATCAAGTGATTTCCTCCCAGCTTTAAATTCCTAAACGTAAATACAGGAGGTTAAATTAGGGTCATTTGCAGACTGAAGTGAACCTGTGCAATGCGTTCAATAATATTCATTAGCCTCCTACTTGGGGAACTAAATTAACTCACGTTCCTGGAGAAACACCATCAGCTCTGGTGAAAGATGTGCTGAGCACTCAACCTGAGCACATGTCAGGCCTGCCCCTCACTTTTATTCTCAGCTTTTATTCAAATCGGGCTGGAACCAAGCAGAAAAACTGAAGACCATAAAGAGCAACAACAAATGTACCAGTTCAGCCCTGAGGTTTTCATGCTACGGCTCATAGAGCCACAGCAGTGCTGCAAGCCATGGGAACATCTCCCGTTGCACATCACGGATTTAGTGCCAGTTTCCTAAAGTGCCATTATTCAAGCTCACCACGAAACTAATCACTAGTTCCCAAAACCTGCAACAAAGCAAGGTGCTCAAGCCTCTCTGCAGCAGCCATGTGTGCGTGGTGTCCGTGTTTCCCACGACAGTAGCTGGTCCAGCCTGTTCACCATGGAAGCAGGTGGCTGAGAGGGCCTAACATGGACAGTGCTGGCCCCGTGCTGGTGCCACTGTGGCTGTGATTTCTGTTTATTTGCATTCATGGTTGCATTACAGATCTCAGATTTCCCTAATTCAAAGATTAAATGATGGAGCAGGTCTCACTCAGCATTGAGGGTGACAGAGAACAAGGCTGGAAGGGACTTTGGGAGGTGACTTAGACCCTCCTGCTCTATGCCAGGGTGAACCCATTGCCAACATTTCACCTTTCCAATCTTGGCAATCCAAAGATGCTGGTGCCATGGCCTCCCCAAATTATCTATGGGATACTTAAGGCTTTGCCTCTGACAGAGAGACAGAAAGATGGGCTGGTGAAAGACAAGCTTCTGAGCTCAGCTTTTCCCCATATCTCACTGATAACGGGTTGATTATCTTCCTTTGTACCCTCGGTGCCTCTTGCTGTGCTGTTTCAGACAGAATAAACCGAACAATAATGAACCATCATCAAACTGGCAATTGCTTCCTGCCCAGCTTACGTTAGCAGAGAAAGAGAAAGCAAATGATGATTAGTCGTATGTCTGCACTCAAAGATAAAACCCCCGAGCAGGAGCCATCTGCCGAGGCATAAAATAATAATTCTGGCGCTGGCCCTGTCTGAGTGCAGGGCCATCAGCTCTCCCCAAAACACAACGCAACGCAGGCCTAATGCTGAGTTCTAGCAGGTGGCCCATAACCCTGTAATAAACTCCCTGACATTATTGATTTCCCCCCCCCAAACTGAGCCCTTTTGTCTAACTACATTAACTTCTGCTTACTGAGCAGCTGCACGTGAGGCAGCACATAAACAGCAGCTCGTTTGGGTGAGCAATCACTGTGCTGAATGTGCCCCCTGAGCCTGTCCCTGCACGCTGGGATCTGCTCAGATGGGTTATTTCAGAAGCCAAAACCAACACTTGTTAGCTCTGGGCACTTCCAGGGATATTTCTATCTTTACTTGGGGAAAATTGAAATATGCCTCCACTTCTAATGGTGCATTTGAAGAGCCCTGAAATGGGACCCAGGCGCGCTGTTCCCATTGCAAACCTTCGGCCAGACCTGCCCTGCCCATGTGTGTGCTCCAAAAGCATGTGGCCAGCACAGCAGCCTTTGCCTGTGCTTTGATGTTTGGAGGTGCATCTCATGCTGCCAAAAATCCTTCTGTCTTGGCCAACCATCCAGACAGTGTGAGCTGTGTGCTTTTCTGAGGGCTGTGGAAAGGCACCCGAGCTGGGATTCCTGGCCATCCCCTGAGCAGGTCCTGCAGAGGTTCGTGGAAAGGGCCATAGCTCAGAGGGGAAGGTTGGACCCTTTGCAGTCCAAACCAAGCTGAAGCTGAGCTCCCAAGGCATTATCTGTATTTTTCTGTGGGTTTGGAAGCAACGTTCCTGCTTAAGACAAGCTGTGCTCTGAAGGGGATTTGGCAGTGACATTCCCTCTCAGCTTTAAGAGCAATAAGCTTTACATACAGCCTGGAACATCATTACTGTCTAAATGAGACAGGGGTTTTTTAAAGTACTTTTCTGTTCAGGCATCACATTTTCACCTGTGCGTGGACAAGAAGCCACCTATGGAGGGTGAATGATGATGGTGGGGCCAAAGAAGAGCGTGTCCTTGGGGCTCCCTGTGTGATCAGGGTCTCTACAGGCAGGGCAGGTTTTGGTGCCCTGTTTGGAAGAAGGGGCTGATTGCTGCTGTGGGCAGTGCACGGAGTTGGTACCAAGCCCTGCTGTCCTGTGGGAGAAGGAGGAGAAGGGTGGCCTCAAGGAGCAGAATCTGTGCTTTAAGCTGAGCTCAAAGGCAGAAGATGTCCAGCATCCAACCTTCACTGCTCTGGTGGGTGCTGGGGGCACCCCTTACACAGCAGCACAGACAAGTGCCCACTCCAGCCCAGAGCCCTCGTGTAGGGTCTGGATGCCACAGGCAGCAAACTGCCACCGGCAGCGATGAGTCAGAGCCTGCCTGGAGAGGGGGTGGCTCGTGTTTGTGTTGGCAAAACCAGCTGCGAGTGGCAGCGGGCCCAGGGAGCACGAGAGGCTGAGGCTGGAAGGGCCCCTGTGCCGAGGCAGAGATCAATGGGAAAGGGAGGTTTAACATCGCAGGGTGACGGTTCCTGCCAAGAGCCTTCCACAATAAAACCAGCAAATCAATCCACCATCCGCTGAGTAACTCCAGATGAGGATTGCTCGTAAATATGATCAACAGTTTGCTGCTCCTTTAACAGTGGCTTAAGAAAAAAAACCCCAACCAAATACAATTATAGTTTTCTGTGCAGCAGAGAATCCCATTTCCCTCCTCAATTAAAAGGGGTCACACCAAACACTAGGTCAATACTTGGCACAGTAGAGGAGGGCAGGGACAACCCATAGAAGCTTGGCAAGAGTAAGAAAAAAGGCAAAGAAATTACAATTTACAAAAAAACTCAGCAACAGTTAGGACCCTGGGCAACCTAGGAGGGCTTTCCAGGACTGGTGTGTAGTGGTGGATGGATATCTGTGGAGCACAGGCTGGTCAGAGATTGCATGTCCCCACTGCTGGGAGCAGGCCCAGGATGTTGTCTTTGTGCCATCAGAGCTCAGGTTTGTCCATCCGAGGTCCAGAGAAGCTCAGCCCAGCTCCTCATCCAGCAGACTCAGTTCAACATCTTGATCAGAGAGGGGGATTTTGAGGTAGTAGTGGGGTTCCTTCTAAGGCTGGATGTCATTTGGGAAGATCTTTATCACATCAGGATCTGACATGGTTGAGAGAAGATAAGTCATAAATTTGGTTTTCATAATAGATTTGCTCATAGAAATGGAGAATGAGGGTTACTTTATTGCTTATATTAAAGAAAAAATGCACAGTGCTTTATAAACAAGGAGGAACAGAGGAACTGTGCCAGGGACCTTGACAGAGACCCTGATTCACAGCTGGCATTAGCTGGTGGTGTTCTGGAGCCCCCAGTCAGATCCACTGAGGTCAGCGGAGTTCAACTAAGTTAAACCAGACAAGAAAACAGCCTAATGAAACTGAGGAGACAGTGAGTGCATTAGGCAGAGCTTGGCTGTCCATGCTGGGACAACCAGAGTCCTTTCTGTCCCGGAGCCAGCCCAGGGTAGCCTGTGGTGTCCCTCCTGGATGTGCTCCTCAGGTTGGGTAACAGCATGTCTGGGATGTCCTGGCAGGGACAGGGCAGCTGTCAAGGGTTGCTCGGAGTCCTCACTGCCTCCTCTGCCCTCAGGAGCTGCCTTGCCTGCATTCACAGGGAGATTTATGGCAGTGTTTTCCTCTCTCCTGGCTGTGTTCAAGTGGCCAAGGGAGTGATCCAGGAACATGATACCTAGGAGCCTGAAAGCAGAAAGCTGCAGTGGGACTTGCCTGTCCCTGGAGAATATCCCTCAGGATGGAGGAGGACATAGCTCTCTCTGTCTGATGCAAACCAGTGTCTGATTCTTCAGAGCCCCACTCTGCTCCCCCACAGCTGAAATGTGCCTCTGGGCAAGGGATCCTTGGTCTGGCAAGGGAAAAAATAAAATAGTGTTATTTTTTTCCTCCTTGGAATGGTGGATCCACACTGATGGGTCTCTTACTCAACATGGCCAAAGCTAGCAAGGAAGTGGCTTTCTGGCACCAGGAGAGGAGATGGAGGCTGCAAGACCCACCTCTGGCCCAGCAGGTAAAGGGGTAAAACAGCCCCACAAGGCTCAAGATGGCAGGGGAAAATCATATCCATGGAAATGCCATGGATCAAGAGAAAATTCCCTGCTCCTACAGTGGTTTTTGAGGTCATCACAGCAGCTTCCCCAGCACCCAGGATACCTGCACTCCCCAAGACCCACATACAGCTTGTTTCAAAGCTTGTCTGTAGTGAGTTTTACAATATAAAGTGTCTTTGTTTAGCCAACAGAACCACTAATACATGTGATTTTGTTGTTAATAGAGCTGTAAGAATTTTAAGTACCTCTTGGGAATGTGTCATTTTCGGTTGGCTTTTTTAGGCATCACAGGGTGCTGCGTTTGTCTTTGTAAACAAGTACTGAATAAAACATTTAGCACACAGCCGCACTTTGTACAAGTGTCATGCAGGTTTCTAAAGTTTCAGGGAGAATAAATCAACTGCAAACTGCTGCCTGGCAGTTGACTTCGCTCCTTATAAATAGCTAATTTGGACAACTTCGCCCTGCACGTCCCATGAAATTCAAATACTGTGCATATCGTTAATGCAGGCACACAAATCAGAACTGCAACAGCCCCTTTTATAAGCCCGGGGTTGTCACAGAAATGCCACAACCAAGGGCAGGTCAGCTCCAGGTTGCCCTCCCTTTCTTCCAGAGGCGATCCTGGGAAACATCAGCAGGCCACTGCGCTCTGCTGCCTGGCCCCAAGGGAGGAGCAGGAGCCCCATGGTGGCCCAGTTCACTGCTGGTTGTACTGGTTGGCAGCATCATCACTCGGGAGAATTAGGTCCAAACTCAGCCATGAAAACCAGCCCTGGTTTAATACACCCAAGGGAGAAAAGTAAGGGCTGACTGTGCCTTGCTCTGTCGCCTTTGCAGCGCCCAGTGTTGGGCACAGGGTGGATTCACACCCTTCCCTCCTCCCCAGGCACAGCGCTGCTGCTCCAGCCCTGCAGAACCCCCACGTGGGATGCAAACTTACCTGATCCTCCCAGGAGGCTCTCAGCAACACACAGGGCCCACCCAGTCTGGCCCAGAACTCAGCCCAGAGGCTCTAATCCTGGAAGGTGCTGAGCAACTCGGACTTCTGCCACTCATCTCTGGATTTTGGCACATGTTCAGCACGAGCAGGATCAGCCCCTTGCTGTAATAATCAGGGAATGAGGAACTCAGCTTGACTGAGTTTCCCTCCCACCCCCCAATGCAAAAATGCTGTACATTCCTTTATGCAGGTTTCCATAGTGTTGAACTTCTACTATTTTTTTGTTGTTGCTGTTAAAGGGGTCAGCAATGCACTGTACAATGGGATCTGGCTGTCAGGAAATGTAGAGGAATTCAGGGACACTTTTAACATCTTCCTGGTGGGGCTGGAGGGCAGCATTAAACCTGGCATCCTGGAAATCTCCCCACCAAAGAAGAAAAAAGCCCAGAGGAGCCCCGGGAGAAGTTATGAAGACATTCTGCTTTGTCAATCCTACGTTTAAATAAGTTATTTCTTCCCCTACTTCCTCTGTTAAAAATATGATATTTTGGCTTTAATTGCTTCAATCCTATTACTTGTTCCTTTTAGCAAGTGATTGTGCAGCCCCTTGCCGTGGGGAAATCCCCTGATCGCGGGTCCCTGTTATTTAGACAAGTCCCCTTTCAGAAGTAAATGCCATTCTTAGCATAGGGAAGTACTTTAGGTCTAAAGGGGTTAAGAAGGCCTCCCTGCATTCAGAAACATGCAGGGGTCCCACCATGCCAGTTCCAGCCTTTTGAACTCTTTCCAGCTTTTTTTTCTTGCAACAAATCTGTCTGACTGCCACCAGGACATAGGAAGCGTGTGCCTGTCAAAGAAATCAAGTTTACTTTTTCTGACTTGTTAACAGAGGCAGGGTATAAATAGAGCTAACTCTGCTCAGACTAGTAGCGTTTCTCTTAAAATAAGGGGATAACTTCCTAGGACCTTTAATCCAATGAGGTCCAGACCAAACTGCACTATCGACAGAGGCAGCAGAGGAGCTTGCTGAAGCTTTTACTGAGGTCAGGTGCATCTGGGTTCCTCAAAAATTTCAGGCTTGCCAAAAAAAAGCAACCCCAAGCAAGCAAGAACTACTTCCAGCTCGGACACTGCCACTGCCCTGGAGAAGTTCTGAGATGTTGTTGGTGCTGTTCACTCGGTGGATGTGGATCTTGCTGGGGAAGAGCAGTGTCCTCTTGCTTCTGGAGGTCTCTCTGAAAGGGAGAGCTCTGCCCCCAATCCGGTATTCCCACGCTGGGATATGCCCCAATGACATGAACCCCAACCTGTGGGTCGACGCGCAGAGCACTTGCAAGAGAGAGTGCGACGCTGACCTGGTGAGTGATGCACATCTTTGTGTCTCTGCGTCACGGGCGGTGAGGGGGCTTGTCTGGGGGCTTGTTTCTGTCTGTCCCACGAGAAGGGCACTGGCACCGTGCAGGACTCAGTGCAGACAGTGCATGTATTTAACTGACCCGTGACCTATATAAAATAGAAAAGGTTTGATGAGTTGTTGTTAAGCAGGGAGGTGTGTGGCAGTTGTCACTTAACGCTGATGTGGGCACAGGGCTCGCTCTGTTTGATCCTTTTCCTTGCTTTCATGTCAAAAGAACCGTCTGAATTTGATACTCCAGCACTCAGCATGCACTGGGGCCAGTCTGTAGTATTTTAGCAGTGTCACCGTGTTCTTTGTTGTTGGTGGCCATCATCAATGTTTTATATTCCTGGGAGAAATCCTGTATGAAATTGTTTGATTTAACATGCAAATCATCAGCCTTTGCTGCACTTGAAGCACAAAGGGTGCTTGGGGTGCAGAACAGGGCATGGCTAAAATGACCAGGCAGATGTTCTGTGGGATGCTCCCAGCTCAAAATGTGTTTAGCTTACAACCCCAAAATTCATTTTTCAACCTGTCAGCACTGCCAGCTCAAGCTGGCATCTGAAAATACCTGCTTGTCCTGCCTCTTACATCATGTCCCACGACAAAGCTCCTGCAGCCCAAACCTGGCTGACAGGAACACGTACTGTGATGAAAAAAAGTGTTTGGGTTTGTGCTCTGTAGCCAGGTTGTTTCTGCAATGCTAAAAAGGGTAAAAAAAATAGAGAAAAATGCTGGTCATAAGTAAACAAAGACATTTGCTCAGATGGATCCCATGTGTTAGGAATGAAGGTGCTCTTTTTACTTTTGCCATTCTCAAATAAGCCTCCTCTGTTCCAACTACCAGGTGCAGCAATGAATGCTAAAACACTTGCAAAACCCCAGCAGCAGACGACAATGTTTTAATAATTTACTAGTCAAAAACTGAAAGCCAGAAGCCAGTGGCTACAAATATTCACTTTGTGGCAGCACAGAGTCCTGGCACCTTGGATGGAGTGAGTGGTCTGCAGGCAGCCAAGGACTCTGCCAAGCCACACTCCTTAACCCCAGCTCAAAACCTCACCCATCCTGGTTTCCAGCTTTGCTTCTGAAACCTAGTAATGTGCAGCTGGAAATGGGGAAAGAGTTCTGGTATTAGGTCATCTTTTTCCCAATAAGGAAAGGATACTGGACTCAGGGGAAGCTCTTTAGTTTGGTAGCCTAAAAATCATGTTGCCCTCACTTACAGAGGCAGCTGATGGATTTCAGGGGGCTTGTAGAGGTTTAACACACAGTGGAAGTGTGACCTGTTGGGCACATGGTAACAGTGTTCATGGTCCCTTAAAGTAATCCATAACAGCCCAGTAGCCGTGATCACACGTATCAAATACCTTTTCTGCACAGAAGATGAAAATTCTGCTAAAATTAACCACAATTTAGAGCTGACTGTAGCCGAGGCGGGGTGTAATAAATCACTAGAAGAGCGATGCTGCATTTGAAAATAGGACTAAAATAGGACAGAGAAGCCATAATGATCTGTTTGGGGTTTGTTTTTCTAAATACCATAGAAAAATTATTTTTGGAGCAAGAATTACCTTAGTTTTGAGATATTCTATTATTTCCTCTACAATGTGAACAATTACAAATCCTTGGCAGTTTCACCTCCAAGAGCAGGCTGTTAGTCTCAGGGAATTCAAATAATACTTTACATACTTCTGTGGAAAATAAGAAGGATTACTGCCTACAGCCATATGATAAGACTTTCCATCCGCTCTTGTTTCTCAGGCCTTGTCCTCAGGCATTTGGGAGAGCACGGAAGGGGGGTGGTTGGTTTGGTAGTCAAGCAGTCCATGTGACTCTGGGGTAAAGACTTAGGATGAGGTTTGTGTTTAAGAAACAGAATTACATTTTCCTTCCAGAGAGTCTTCTCTTGAAGCACTTCAGAACCCCCCGTATGTTTTGACGCCTCTTGGGAGATGCTGAGGAGATGTTTCTACTCATTGCCCATGGGGAGACTGAGTTTTCAGACCACAGATATCTGTGGCAGACGAGGTCCCATGAGTTTCTGGGCTGTCTGCTTGCTGGGTCTCTAAAAAGGCCTTTACTTTGTCCCCAGTAACAACTGGGTTATTTTCCTCCCCCACAGGAGTGCGAGACCTTCGAGAAGTGCTGCCCCAATGTCTGTGGAACAAAGAGCTGTGTGGCCGCTCGGTACATGGACGTCAAGGGGAAAAAAGGGCCGGTGGGAATGCCCAAGGAGGCAACCTGTGACCGTTTCATGTGCATCCAGCAAGGCTCAGAGTGCGACATCTGGGATGGGCAGCCCGTCTGCAAGTGCAAGGACAGGTGTGAGAAGGAGCCGAGCTTCACCTGCGCCTCCGACGGGCTCACCTACTACAACAAGTGCTACATGGATGCAGAAGCTTGCATCAAAGGCATTACACTGAATGTGGTCACCTGCAGGTACCATCTCACCTGGCCAAACACCAGCCCTATCCCACCAGAAACAACAGCTCGCCCAACTACTGCCTACTCCGAGACAACGGTCGTCGACATCCTGCCGCCCGCGCTCGTGAACAACCCTGTCCATCAGTCCGTCTACGTGGGAGAGACCGTCAGCTTCCTCTGTGATGTGACAGGGAGACCCAAGCCAGAGATCACGTGGGAGAAGCAGGTCGACGGGAAAGACAAAGTCATCATGAAGCCAAATCACGTCAGAGGGAACGTCGTGGTCACCAACATTGCCCAGCTGGTCATTTACAACACGCAGCTGCAGGATGCAGGAATCTACACCTGCACCGCCCAGAACAGTGGCGGCCTCCTCAGGGCTGACTTCCCTTTGTCAGTCATCAAAGGAGAACCCGCATCCAAAGAGGCTTCCCAAAACAAAACGCATTTCCCAACCGATGAGTGCCTGAAGCAACCGGACAGCGAAGACTGCGGGGAAGAGCAGACCAGGTGGTACTATGATGCAAAGAAAAACAACTGCTTTACTTTCATCTATGGGAACTGTAACAGCAACCTCAACCACTTTGAGACCTATGAGAGCTGCATGTTAACGTGCATGAACGGCCCCATCAACATCTGCAACCTGCCAGCCCTCCAAGGCCACTGCAAGGCCTACGAGCCCAGGTGGGCCTACAACAGCTTGACAAAGCAGTGCCAGTCCTTCATCTATGGTGGGTGTGGAGGCAACGAGAACAACTTCGAGAGCCGGGAGGCCTGCGAGGAGATGTGCCCCTTCCCGAAGAACACGCACTGCAAAGCCTGCAAACCCCGCCAGAAGCTGGTGACGAGCTTCTGCAAAAGCGACTTCGTCATCCTGGGCCGCATCACGGAGCTCACCGAAGACCAAGACTCGGGACACGCCCTGGTGACGGTGGAGGAGATTCTCAAGGATGAAAAAATGGGATTAAAATTCCTGGGGAAGGAACCCCTAGAAATCACGCTCTTGAACATGGACTGGAGCTGCCCGTGCCCCAACATGACCACGGTGGATGGCCAGCTCATCATCATGGGGGACGTCCACAACGGCATGGCCGTGCTGCAGCCAGACAGCTTTGTGGGGACCTCCAGCATCCGGCGCGTGCGCAAGCTCCGCGAAGTCATCCACAAGAAAACCTGTGAGCTTTTGAAAGAGTTCCTGGGATTGCATTAACCCCCCTCACACGTGTCAGCCGCCCCGCTCCGTGTGTTACGTAGGGCTAACAAGAGCTAGGCTAGTGCACAAACTAAAGCGCTGTTTGCAGGTGCACCGTAGGAATTATGCAGAACCCCTATTTTAATCCACTAATGATGCTTAGCAACAACGTAGTTTGGTCTTTGGCAAGCACGTAAACCAGCAGCAAAAGGCTATTAATCTTGCATTGAAATCAATTCGTCCACATAGGAGTGCCATTTAAATAGGTGACTCACTGCAGTAATTATGCAATTTTTATGTAGCTTCCATCATAAATGACGGAATTCATAGTGTTTGTTTGGCTAGTTGGTACACAGCTAAATAATATATAATGTCAATTTAATCTGTCTCATTTTCAGTCTGGAAATGCGATGGTGTGTCGTTGTAAGTAAGTCACATGCTTGGCTCCTTATAGCAGCACTAATATTTCAAGAGAAAAGCCTGTAAATTATTGTCTGTATTTACAATTGTGAACATTTAACCAACCTATGCATTATGTTTGCTTCTTTTAATTGAAATTTTCCCTTTTCTTTTTAAAAACCTCATTTTTAAATGGCAACTACTACCTGTCTTGCAATCCTTTCTGGAGGAAAAACTCCTTTGATCCTATGCCCAGGACAACAGGTCCCTGTAGAAGCTCAAGGCACAGTCTCACCCTGAAATGACTTTTCTGTCACCAGAACAAGGTCAGCAAACGCCCTCATTCCCTATTTTAGTTTCAATCAATTTATTGTCTATCACAAAAAGTCTCAGGCAGAAGGACAACAGAGTGCTGTCTTGCTTTTGAAAATGCTTTCCACCTGAGCATATGCAGCAATTTCTTGCTTATTTTCAGTAGAAATCCTGCTTTTATAGATGAGAGAGCAAAGCAAGAGGAGTCAGAACAAGATTCAGCCTAGGAAAGTGCAATACACAGCCTGCAAACTGCATTAGGCAGACACAAAGCTGCTGAATCCGAACTGCACAGACACAGGCAGACAGAGCGGACACTCTTTAAAGGCTTTTATCAGTGTTAGCCTTTTAGAGCCTTTTTAGAGTATTTCAAAACCTCAGAAAACACTTTCTACCAGACCACTGTATATATGTGTGTGGATAAATTCCCTGGGAGAGCCAGCACGGGCTGTGGGGTGGGAGCGCGTGCGTACACATAGGATCGATCATTTTAACCTCTGTGTGCCCCAAAAAAATGTAACATTTGCCTATGCAAAAATCCTTAAATAAAGAAAAGGCTGATCCTGGAAACATCCTGCCTCGCTAAGGACTGTGATTGCAGGGAAGAGGGGCGAGCGTGGCGAGCCTTGTCCTCGCTCCTCCTTTCTCAGGCTCAGCCAAGTGGCTATGGTGGAGCTCAGAGCTTGCTGCCCTGCACAAAGGGCCAGTACAGGGCTGGAGCAGTGTCAAGACACGTCTGGGGGAGAGGAAGGAAGGAAAGAAGGTGTAGCCAAC